TTCTCTATAGCTATTGCAGAAGCTGTTAATCTGTTAATCATCTTCAATATAATATTAATCTTCTACAGCACTATTGATATGAGATTCTTGTAAGATGTAGTATGAGCACTGAATTCAGAGTTCAGAACTCAGATATCTTTATCAGTTTAATCAGTAGAATAGACTGTTTCTATTGTATAAAATACTTACTCAATGATATTATGAACTGACACTGAGTCTGTTTCATTCTTATTCTTATTCTTACTGTAGCTAGTAAAGTGTTTTTCAGAAAATTTCAATCAGTAATCTGTTTAAATGTGATCAATCTTCTGACAATGATAATATATTTTGATAGTATTATTACTCTTTCTATCTAACTTAATGAAATCTTTGTTCTTATTCTCAGAGATCTTCTTCTTCTTCTTATTCTTTTTATTCTTTCTATTGAAATCTTGAGCATTATTTACAGAGGTCTTTTCATCAGAGATGAGAGATTTATCAGTAGTTAACAATTGTAGAAGAATATCTTAACATGATTTTATAAAATCATCTTTAAGTATTCTAGCATTCTCATTCTTCTCTATTACATTTATTCAATTCTTTATAAAAGATGATCAATCTTTACTAATCTCTGTAAGAAGTCTGTTGAAAAACATGAAATCTTTAATATTATATCTTAATCAGATATAATCAGTTCTAATTGTGATTAAATGTTTGATAAATATATGATTAGAATTCTTTGATTTTAATATCATCTTAATTAATTCTTAAAAGAGATAAGTTCTGCAGATAACAGATCTCTCAGTGAAATTATTCTCTATAACAGATTATAGAGAATAAGCAGATAGTTGAAACTTCTTAAGTATAATAAAGTGAGATTTGATCTGCAGAGTAATTGTAGATTATATATAGTTATATAGTCAGATATTCTGTTCTGATCAAAAACATTGTATATTTATACTAGACTGACCGTGTGACCGTGTCTGAGACCAGGATCAGATTTTTTGATAGTTCTATTATCAATTCAACTAATCCCATTACACAGTTTTAACATTAGATAGTAGTTTTATACTGTCTCAGTGAAACTTACTGTCTACTCTTGTCACATTTTTCAAATGAGATCATGATTTCCACTTCTTAATTTAAATTATTTTTATTGCTTTAAATGACTTTAAATCTCATTTGAGCATTATCAAAAAGCGTTACTTTTTAAAAAATTAAAAATAGTCTAAAAAAAATCTTAAAATGTCTGAAAATAGTAACTTTATGCTAAGAATGGGACTAAATGAGACCAAATGAAATCACTTTCTCATTTTTTTCAAGTCATGGTTTCATTTTAAGATCTGATATATAGTCACTTTACATGTTTTTTTAATAGCCAGTCCCAGCGGGATTCATGCCAAGAAATGTATGAGATCAGATCAAATGAAATTAAATATGAAATTCATAATCTCAGTAGTCAGTCTAATTTATACTGATATTCTCATCAGAATTAATCTGCTTATTATTAAGAATGTTATTTATTTCAGATTATCTTACTATAAGCAGAATCTCTTCTTTTCATATAGAATAATTTACAGAGTCAGTGAGTATAATAAACTTCTTTATAAATCTTACTTAATCTCTGAATTCATTAAGAATCTTTATTAATACAGATTAGACTGACTGTTGAGATTATAAATTTCACATTTAATCTCATTTAATCTGATCTCATACATTTCTTAGTATGAATCTCACTGAGACTAATCATTAAAAAAATATGCAAAGTAACTATATATCAGATTTTAAAATGAGATTATAACTTGAAAAAAATAAGAAAGTGATCTTATTTAATTTCATTTAGTGTCATTCTTAGTATAAAGTTACTATTTTTAGACATTTTAAGGTTTTTTTTAGACTATTTTTAATTTTTTAAAAAGTAACACTTTTTAGTAATACTTAAATGAGATTTAAAGTCATTTAAAGCAATAAAAATAATTTAAATTAAGAAGTGAAAATCATGATCTCATTTGAAAAATATAATAAGAGTAAATAGTAAGTCTCACTGAGACAGTATAAGACTACTATCTAATATTAAAACAGTGTAATGAAATCAGTTAAATTGATAATAAGATTATTAAATATTCTGATTTTAATCTCAGACACGGTTACACAGTCAGTTTAATACAGATATTCTACTCTTTTATTAAAGATAGTTTATTAAATCTGTACTAAACTCTTTATTTTTACTTCTATCTATCTTTATTCACTCAACTTCATGCTAAAGTCTTGTAATTTCTAGTCTTATATAAGTCTTCTCACTTACAGAGCTATTATTATTTCAGTTATTTAAGCTCTCTATATTATCTGATATCTTACTGATATTTTTAACTGAGTCTTTATATTCATTATTGAACTCATCAGACTGTTTTTCTGTAATAATTTCATTCAGCTTAAATATCTCAGAAACAGTTACTTTTCAGTTTATTATTAATATTAATAATAATCTGTGATCTTATATCTGCTGTTCTGATATCTTCTCATTTCTCTATCTTAAAGATATGTATTCTTTTATTAAGTTAGATATTCTCTCAGATCTTAGATTAATCATGAGTTCAATTACTTATAAAAAACATCTAGATACATATAATAATACATGAAGATGTCAATTTAGTATATTATTGTGATTATTCATTGCTTGTGAAGAGCTTCATAATCTCTTAAAGAATAATATTATTATATTATAAATTTAACTACGCGAGTTACACTAAATGAATAGATTGAGGTGGCACGTGACTAGAGTAGATGTGAGAGAGGTTGAATATGATTGATTGTTATTATCTAACTAGTAGCTAGTGAAAGCTAAATATATGTGTGTGAGTCACATGAGTTAGAGCTTGTGTAGTAGCTTCAACACTCTCTCATGCTATGCAGGCCAGTTAATTCATGCAGTCAAAAGTGCTCAAATCATTCAAATCTGCAATAAAAATTAATTATAAAAAGTAGAGTCTAGTTTTCTCATAAGGACTAGCTTCATACATGAAAAACATAAAAAACATGCAAGAAGAATGCTCAAATTCATTCTTTCAGTATTAATATTATCCTCAGTTATTCTAACATCACAGAATCTCATTCTTATTATTTTTGTGGTTTTCATTGTCATAGGCATAGGCATATGTCATCAGCATAGGTCATCAGCATAGGTCATCATATGAGCAATTGGCATAGGTTATCATATGGGCAATCGGTGGCCCGGCATTATATAGGCACTGGGGCCTGACATCGTAGGCACTGAGGCCTGGCATCATATAGGCACTGGGGCCTGGCATCGTAGGCACTGGGGCCTGGCATCATATAGGCACTGAGGCCTGGCATCGTGGGCACTGGGGCCTGGCATCATATAGGCACTGTGGCCTAGTATCATATAGGCACTGGGGCCTGGCATCATATAGGCACTGAGGCCTGGCATCGTTATCGGTATTTCCATCGTTTTGATGTTGATATTGGCGGTCATCATGAGCATCATTAGAAGACTTGCTCAGTATTATAGCATATAGATGTAGCAGCATTATCATCATTGATCTTCTTTCTATTCTTTCAATCTGCAGATTGTTTCTCTGAGTGTTCAAATCAGTAGCTTGATTTATCATGATCTTTCATCTTACAGACAGTGCATTTCTTCTTAATATTCTTATTATTCTTCACATTCTTGATAGTATCTTTGTTATTCTTTGTGTCATTTCTGGCATTTTTATCATTCAACAGCAGGCAGAGTAGTATATCTCTACAGAGATTAAGAAAATCATCTTCTAGTAATATGATATTATCATTCTTTACTGCATAGTTCATGCAATCTCTGATAAAGATTGACCACTTCTTGATAAGACTGTTGAGAAGCTTGTCAAAGAATATGAAGTTAGAAATATTAGCATATTCAAGATGAATATACTTAACACAGATTGTAAGTAGACATTCTATGAATAAGTAATTGAAGCTATCATAGATAGCAGTTATACTGATATCATTGAATTTCTTAAATAGACAGACTCTGCAGATTTTCATTCATTCTGAAAAAAATGCTGCTATAATGTTTTATAGAGCAGCAGAACTTAGAAAATCTTGAGATATAGTAAAAAGAGATTTGACTTTAATAGAAATAGAAGATTATATAAAATTATATAGTTAGAAGTTACATTTCTCTCAGAATTATTTCATATTCTTAGAGATATTCTTCAAGAGTTTTATAGTTACATTCAGAAGATCTTCTGTGTGAGATTGTTTAATAATAAATAGAATCTCTTTCTTTTAAATAGAATAATCAGATATTGATTTAAAAAGACCTGGTTTTTAAAGATATTTAATATATTCATGAAATTCTTGAAGAACTCTGCTTAGTGCAGAGATATTATCTTGATTTTAAAGATATTCTGTAAGATCAGAACTTAGATTATTATCATTATTAATAGTAGTTATAGCTGAAGTGCTTTGATTGACAGAGATAGTTCTTATTCAGTGTATTTTCTCATTCTTCTGAGTAATAAGCTATCTCAGAATAATAACTTCATTATAATCTGTCATATCTTCAGGTTCTGAAGAATTATCTTAAGCTTGATTATTGCATTATCTTCACATGATTATTAATGTTGAAAAGAATTCAGCTATCTGATTCTCTGAAGTCTCTTCACAGTTAATCAATCTTGTATTGACAGGCATTTGATATGAGATATTTGAATGAAAAAAGCAGCTATTTGAAAAGCTTATTGTATGATTATTGCATGGTTATAACACTTTGTAGAAGTGCAAGGGCTTCATAACCTATGAGAGAGATTGAACATTGATTGATTGTTGTTATCTAACTAGTAGCTAGTGGAAGCTAAATATATGTGTGTGGGTCACGTGGGTTAGGGCTTGTGTAGTAGCTCCAACAGTAGGTGTAGTAATCACCAACACTGGGGCAAAAGAGCTCAGTCATCACCAGCGCTGCTGGTAGAAGGGCTGATCAACCCCCGGGACCCTCAACATATTATCCTCTTTGTAGATAGATCTATCAATACAACCTTAAACTATCCTACACTAACTGTAAACGGCATCGTTGGTGCTGATATAAGGCTGATGCAGCTCTTGGGCTTGCAACACAACACAACCCACTACTCCCGTACAAACAACCCAACTCAACTTGATGATTGTCCTTTTGCCTTCACTGAACATTATCACATATTCTGTTTGTTTCTGCCACTGGATGCTCAGCTCTCGAGGGAATATTTGAAGCAGGTTTCACTTCGTATCTTCTTCCCTCCGCTTCAGCGACTTTTTTTTTTTTTTTTTTCCTTTACATTCAATCTTTATACTAGTTACCTGTGGATCTGATAAAATTACCAATCCCTTAAAAACCCTTAACCGGCCGGTGAGCTTCGGGAGCTAAAAAGGCAAAGCCAAGCGGGTGGGTGCATCATTATTATTGATGTCTGGATGTCTGCACCCCCCCCCCTCAAGGCCGCTTACCATCATTCCCAACCTAGAGAGCTAGATGAAGACTCCCAACCGTTGAACTCATCGCATGCTTCTACCACGTATCAATTGGAAACTGAAGGTGTTACACATTTGCTCGTCGAATCGTGCGACTCCGTTCTTAAAGCCAGCACTGGCAACTCTCCAGCCAGGCATTCCGAAGACCGTCCAAACGAATCCAGTGTTGAGCAAGGACTGGCATCGAATGGGAGCAACGAGCCACGTGGCTTGGGTTCGAACTCCCCTTCAACTTTCTTAGATGTTTCCTTTGTTGGTGTCGGTGAAGGCATCCCAGACTGGAATGCATCTTACGCTTCGTATCTGAACCTAGACCACATTTACGCAAACCAGGAGGAGCTTGTCAATGAGCAAAGGGAACTAGTGCGCAGCTTGGAGGGACCGTCACAAGCCACTCGAGCTCTGGAAGCCACCTCGTCTACTCCTCCGCATCCAGCAGCGGTGGGACCTACTACATTTCCCTTCCAGAAGCAACTCTCCACACCCCATCGCCCTTCTATCCCAGGCCCGGCACCAGCAGCTAGTCCATCTCCATCTCGTGCACCCAAGCGCAAAGCAGACTCACAGCACGCGTCTTCAAATGGGAGAACAGTCCGGCCCAGGCTTGTAGCTGATAATTTGGAACAAACCGTGCACGAGTCCGCTCATTCTTTTGCATCGAACAGCGAACAGAGTCCCATTATTAATCGGATGCGCGCACCCTCTGGCTCACAGCCGCATCCAGGAAGTAGGATTGGGAGCAGAATGGATCAAAACAGGAGCAGACAAAGTAGTAGAGCGAATTCTCCGAATGCGGCAGCAGAACCCTCCACGTCCGCTCCTGGAGTTTCAAAGCGGCCAGATTCTTCCGAAAGGGCCAAAACCTGCAACCTTCCTCCTGAAAAGGTGTTTCCCATTCAGATCGGCTCGGAGTTGTTTAGATTGTCTGGCTCATCGATTTCCTCTGATGGTTAGTCCAGCAAACCCCCAACCCCCATCTCTCTATACCCAGAATTAGACCATATGGACTAAAAATCTTAGAGCACCCTCATACTTTTCACATTTTTTCGAGGAACAGTTACGCCACAATGAAGATGGGGCAGCAGTGCGAACTCTATACATAGATCGCGACCCCGCCAACTTTCGAGATATATTAAGACATCTTCAAGGTATCTTGAGTCCCATAGCCCCAGAGCATATCGTATACATTGTAATTAAGCCTTAAATCGCGTGTATCCCACCTGACCTGACTGACAATGGCCCTTTCACACGCAAGGTTACTATGTGCGACCGCGAGATGGATCCCATCTTGTTAAGTTATTTGCGGATGCCCAATTTTACAGCCGTAAGTTGCGGTACCTGCATCAATATTTTGTCGAAGAATTATTCCCCTAATTTGCGTCATTTAGTGCCGCGCTTGATCTCTCAGCTAGTCGAGTCTGAGATATTCATACAAATCGGCGACCGACATTTCCAAATTCCGCGCGATATATTTTCTAGTCCTGGGGATTCTCCGAACTTCTTCTCAGTCGCATTTGCTATATTTTTCACCACTCCCAGCGATTCGATCGGGCGCCCAAACCTCCTACGTCCACCAGCCGTCACTCCACCCGTGGTTATTAACCGATCTGCTGATGTGTTCTCTGAGCTCCTCCATATGCTTAAAGGATATCCGATCCACATACGAAACGAAGAACACAGAGCAGAACTATTGCGAGACTGTCGTTATTTCCATCTTCGGGGGCTTGAGCAAAAGCTAATTCCCCACGCAATCAGCTACAACTTGTTGCGGCAGAAGTCAGAGATCTTGATTCGATTGGAAGATATCCGGCAGTCGGGGGTTCAGTTTGTAAGCGACGTCTCACCGGCAGACAGGGCTGCTTCTGGAGGATGGGTCCATTACTCGCGCCCTTTCGTCGACGACGCGTCTCACGAACTAATAGTGGAGATTGGGGGCGAAAACACGTTTATTGATCTGAATTCAATGCGGGCAGATTTTGTCGGGTTAGCAAAAGCGAGGGTATCGAGTCTCTTCCAGGTCATAGCCAATAAAATGAATCTCCCTACGATTGCCCCTCTAGGATTATTGATGAAGTCTGGCGGATTCAGCAAACAGCCACCTAGCCCAGGCCATACACCCTTGAGTGAGGACCAAGTCAAAATCCGAATAGACTCGGATGCGGACATCGTCCTCGATGGAGAACTATATGTTGCTGATTGGAGTAGAATCAGAAGTACTCTGTGTCCTACGCCAGGCGACACGGGTTTCCTTCCCAGAACCCCTGGTTCCAACACCTGCGGGAGGAACCAAAGCCTCAATCCGGTCAATGTTACAGAAAAGAATCAACTATCATCGGACTCAAATTCTGTTGACATGTCGAACCAACCACCACCACCACCAGCAGCAGCAGCAAGCGAAAATTCATCACAGTCACTGTCTGTTACAGGGTCACTCTCCTCTTGCAACTCCCCGTCCGCCATGCCGTTTAGCAAGCCGGAGGCACCACGAGCGCAAAATAGCCAAGGGACGACCAAACGCAAGAGACTGGATAGCATATATGATAATGGAGAATGGGTAGTGGAGAAGGGGCACTGGAGAATCCGCGTGCAGGCTAATGCACAGGAGAGTGCGAGTGGAAGAATGGAGATCATGTTTGTTGCTGTCAAGCTCTATGCGTTCAGTGGACAGCGGGCGCGCAATGCAAGCCGGGGATTTCTAAACTAATAATGTGGGCGTGCGAGCGGTGTGAAGATGTCATGATTGCTTTACACTGCGTATGTTTTGTTTGACTTTCATGGATAGGCTAACTATAAATACTCGGTCTTCTTGGCTACATATGTGTAAATATATGGATATGAGATATGAGGCAGCGATGATGCAACAACAATACCGGGCCGGGGGTTTTTGGACATATATTATAAAAGTGATTACCCTTTTATATTTTTCTTTCATTTAAATTTCATAGAGCGCGCGATCTTCTTTGTTCTTCTTTGTTGCCTCTCCTTGTCTCTTCTTCTTTGTATTCCACCCGCCTTATGTATGTACTTGTACGCTGCGTATTATTCCCTCCCTATCCCCTAGCCTTGTTCCTACGGTAACCTTGGCTCGTCGTAATAATAGGTTTGAACTGTAACGTAACAGCATTGAGTTTACGGTTCGCCGCCAGCCGCCGTAGATAGCCAAAATTACCGCTAAGTTCCGGATTACCATACGCTATCTTTCATCTTTCGCCCAACCCCAACCCATATAGCCTAGGTGGTAAGAAGTTAGAACTAACTACTGCGTACAGCGTAGCTGAACGCCAATAATAGAGGAAAACGACGTCTATCTCTTCGCTCTTTTGCCCTCTCTCATCGGGCCTTGATTTATTTCCGCCCCGTATAAACCCATTTTCATCATCTCATCTCATCCTCCTTGATCTGTAGTTACTTACTCTCCCAATTTATCCTCCTGCTCCTATCTCTTTCTCCATCTAGAGCCATCTTAGATATGTCAACTACATTCTCTTCTCAATCTCAAACGAACAATCCCACCCCTTCAGCTCAGGTTCCTTCGCCCGTGAACTCTACTACCGTCACACCGGCGAACAATTCTCCCACCTCCCCCCGCCTACAGAACGCTCAGCTCCATCAATTACACCTGCAATCGCGCCAGCTCCGCCCCCCAAAGACTCCGTTGTACGTTCCCGCTGTCCTCCGGCCTACTGAGCGCGCAACAAAACCTTCTCCTCTCACCCCTCCACGCAGCATACATGGCTCCTTAGATAGCCTGGATGACCAACCGGAGAATGCTGGCCCCATTACCCGGAGTTCGACCTTTGAGAGCGTCAAAAGCGCTGTGAGTAAACGTGCTGAGGATGAGTGGCTGAAGGATGAGAATTTGGGAGAAGTGACAGGTTCACCCACGCGGGAGCATTGGAAGGTAATCCAACTTTTTGTTGCGTGTTCCATGCATACAAAATCAATCTCGTTTATGTGATATTGTTATTTTATTTTCTTTCGTTAGCGATTCAACCGAGCTGACAAATGTCCTCCCCTCCCCCCGGACTTCCAGGCTGATTCCGCATCCCCTACTTGCGACTCACCCACTTGCCGTTCTTTCTTTGGCCTCTTCCTTCGCCGACATCACTGCCGGCACTGTGGCCATGTCTTTTGCTATTCACATACTCTCCACATGGTGCCCCTCGACCAAAATGCCCGCTTCCATCCCGATGGAATCCCCTCACGTGCCTGCGATCTCTGCTGGAGCGCCTACCGCCGCTGGGACAAGGCTCGCACCACGCGACTCAACGAAATACAACAAGATCTTGTCTCTAATGCAGAAGATGTCCAAGATAGAAACCCCTCGTCCGCTAGGGCAATGAGAACCAATGGCTCCGGTAACGCAGCAGCTACTCGTCCGGGTGGCATGGCACCATCAATCGCTCAAGAAGGCCTTGCTGCAAGTAGCGTCCCGAGAGACTGGAGCTGGAGCACATTCTGACAGGCTACATATGTATATCCCATTACACACCTTCCTTGCGTTTTTTCATTTTATATCTTGCTTTTTTTTAACATTTCACTTCGTACGGATATATTTCCCATGAATGTTGGCGTCCCTATTTCCAAGTTTCATCACACATCCTCCTACCTTCGCCTAGCAAATCCTTTACGCCGATTTACCGCTTGTCTCTCCCTGTTTTCGTCAACCCCTATAATTCTTTTTTTATTTTCTTTTAGATTTCTGCTGTTACTATACTGGTGTTCACTCTAATAGATGGTTGCGGCGCAGATTGTTATGGATATATTTCGTTTATCTTCCCTTGTTTTCACTCTTTCTGTCTTTCTTTCTCTCTTTCTTTCTTTCTTTCTTTCTTTCTTTCTTTCTTTCTTTCTTTCTTTCTTTCCTTCTCTCCTTACTTCTTTCCTTTTTTTATTTTTTTATTTTTTTATTTTATTTTTTGGGTGGTGGTGGTGGTTATTGTTAATGCTTCCTCTAATTGTTGTGTGCTCCTCCTTGACTTTGCGTTTGCTAGATATTTCTTTTGACCCCGTATAATATTTCTGCATCCTTTAGTTTGAAAGATGGGTGATGCCGTCTAGCAACGTTATATAACATTTCGGTTCAAGAACCATGATTGACTAACCGCGTTTCTAAACATGAAAAGCCGCCAACGAGTCATTGAAAATCTAGTCGAATATATCCCTCTATACGCTTGCTTCAAATGATAACTTTCAACAGCATTTACAATCAAACCATCATCTCGTAGCTGGATAAAGATTCCAGCAGCCATTAGGTTATTCCAGCGGTATTTCTACCGTCTTCCACATTCCAACATGATCCATCCCTTCCTCCACCCACGTCCCCATAGTCTCATCCGTCACGAACCCCAGCCGCGCATACATTTTTTCAACAGTGACTTGGGCATGGACCAGCACATCACCAATCCACGGCTTGTCCTCAGATTCCTGCAGCGCTTTGTGATGTTCCGACGCCCAATTCAAGGCGGCTTCTACCAGGACACGCGCAAGCCCCGCGCCGCGATACTGCCGTAGCAGTGCAACCCTCGACAAGGCCACATAAGATCTCCCCAGTTTATGTTCATTAGGTTCATGCGGGGGAGGAATAAGTCGAAGAGTGCCGATCGGGGTGGGCTTTTCGGACTCTGTTGTTGTAGCATAGAGGACCCAATGCCAACTTCTCGCGTCATTGTCATCGAATTCATTCTCTGGTTTGCAATGCTGCTCATCTACAAAGACTACTGTACGTACGTGCATGGCATCGTTGAATATTTGCGGGTTGTTGGCGGGCGCGGGGTTGGAGTCGGTGGGTCGTGTGAGGCTCTTGAGGGGGGGTGGGAGGAAGGATGTTGTGAATTGGGCGGTTGAGCCCATTGCGCACCAGAAGTTTATACTGCTCAATGGCTAGTTGGTCAAATATCTGCCTGGAATGTAGGGGAGGGAACCTTATTGTGTGAACGGCCTGAGGCGTGCGGGGTTGTTTTGACACGGCAGTGATGCCCGCACGACCCCGGAAGAGGAAATAACAAGAAGCCCAATGCAGAAATACAGATGTAAGAGCAGGGGGATAGGTAAACTCGAATAATCCAGGTCTGGTGGGCAATTGATTTTTTGGGTACTCTCTTATCTATGACAATTGATGGTGGTTGTGCTTCGAACTGTTCTTCTTTTACATACTGTATACGCTAACCGTGCTAGAGATAAGCCATCCAGACCAAGCCTAATATAGACTAGCGTTGTCCCCACCCGACTCCCAAACCCGCCGCCAATTTAAGGTGTTATTCATATTGGGATTAGCGTCGCCAAGCCACTCCCGAGAGGGTTCGAATTGAACAAACATTGCAAACATCGGCGGCAAGAAACACATCAAACTTAGCACGAATATTAGGCGTCCATCCATTCCCACAGGTGGACCATTGAAGCATCTATACAAAAGCTACAATGTCATTATATTCAGATGCCGCATCCATTCTCAAGAACGGTTCTGGCACCGGTGGTTCATTCAAAGCTCGCGTCTACAATTCAAAACTCAGGTCACCTGCCGTCCAAGTTTACGCCTTGATAACAGAGACGGCAAAATGGGATATTATCCTCAAAGAAGTGGTTGAGAATGCCGGCTTCCTTTCTCTCGAACCAAAGGTCAGCTCGTTACCACCGTCTATTTTGCCTAGTTTTCTTTCTTTCTTTCTTTTTTTTCTTTTTTTTCTTTTTTGATAGACGAAACTAACTTCTACTGCTGGCCGCCCAGCTTGAAAGGTATATTTAGCTCACCCCCCTCCTGTCGATCCTCCTTGCCCACGATTTGCTATTCGCAAAAAGAGGCATTGCCGCGCCATCAAATCATCCCTTGCGTTTGGCCATCGAAAGGCACAAAGTTCGGATAAAAGCAGAGTTCGTTAGATCTCGTGTGCGCCGTCGATGTGCCTCCATCGAAGAGCTCAAGGCGCTCGTCGCGAAACAGAAAAACCCTACTGGGGAAGGGACTACTACATTGGTACCTCCCAGGTGGGTCAGGATAAATAATGTGCTAACAACATTTGACGAAGAGTTGAAGACAACATTTTCATCCTCCAAACTAGTCCACTCGTTATCGCAGTTAGCAGCAGCTGCACCACAATCATACTATCAAGATCCTCATATCCCGGACCTTCTAGCTGTTCCACAAACTGCAGAACTAACGTCATCGACGGCATATAAAGAGGGGAGGATAATACTACAGGACAAAGCATCTTGCTTCCCGGCCTATTTGCTCCTTGGAGGTGCTGTGAAACAATGGACAGGAGACTTGATGGATGCTTGTGCGGCACCTGGTAACAAGACAACGCATCTTGCCTCGTTGTTGTGTTCAGGCTCGGAGCAGTGTCGTGATGATCTAGTTGGCCCAGCTCCACAGAAGTGTAAAATATTTTCATGCGACGCCTCGCAAGCCCGGTCAAAAATTCTACAGCGGATGGTGACTGTTGCTGGTGCTGGCAGGGTGGTTTCTGTCCTTGCTGGTCAGGACTTCCTTGCCATATCACCCGAGGATAAACGTTTCCGAACTATAGCAGGCCTACTTCTTGACCCTAGTTGTTCTGGGAGTGGTATAGTTGGAAGAGACGACATACCTCGCCTGGCTTTACCTAGTTCACATAACCCAAATCCTCGGAGCAAGAAAATGAAGCGCACTGCGCTCGCACCTGTTCCTTGTACACATGCAGACCCCGCGGCTGACGAAGAGGAACCAACACCCGCCATCGATCATGACCGCCTCATCAAGTTGTCTAACCTCCAGACGCGGATCATTGAACACGCATTTAGTTTCCCGGCAGCTAGACGAGTCACATACAGCACTTGCTCCATACATGCGCAGGAGAACGAAGTTGTTGTTTCGCGTGCGCTGAAGTCACCGGTAGCGCAACGACGTGGGTGGCGAATCCTTTCAAGAAGCGAAC